AGGCTTTTCCAATCCTAGAGTTTCACCATCTATTATCTATCAGAAGCTAATGCTAATTGTCACATTTAGCCTGCATGTGACACTCAGAGTGACCGATCGTATTTAATAAACGCAGCAAAAACAGTTTTTCAGTGAACCTTGCTTTATACTCTTTAATGAAACTTCATGGCATTCTCCATTGGACATACAGTGATCCCTCGCTACTTTGCGGTTCGTTTATCGCGGATTCATGACTTCGCAGATTTTTTCTTTGGAGCCTTATTCAAGCGAAATTCGCCAATTCGCGGTATTTTTCACCGATATGCGGTATTTTTCACCGATTCGCGGTATTTTTCTATGCAAAATATCAAGAAATTCCTGTTTTTTCATAAATTTCATCATAAAATGCACTTTTTGCAATAAAACTATAAAAAAAAAACAAATAAAAATACAGTACTATGTAAAGGGAGGGTTTTAAAAGTCTGAATACTGAATACGTACCTGTTAAATAAATACTGTAAATATGGTGTCCCTACTTTGCGGATTTTCACCTATCGCGGCCAGGTCTGGAACGCATCTACCGCGATAAACGAGGGATCACTGTATATTTATAACAGATTAACTTCCGTCTGTCCAACTTTTCCTTTGAGTCTAATTTCATAAAAGCAATCAAAAGTTGCAAAGAAAACTAGTGAGAGTTGGAGTCTCTAGTGCCCTTCAGCAAGGCACTGAAGCCAGTAAGAGTGGATGTGCTGAGCGGCTGCAGGAAGTGTGGGGATAATAAGACACTTAAGCCCCGGCTGCTGGGCAGTTCCCAGAAGCCAAAATGAGCCTGGTCTGGTTCTGCTATGCTGCTCTTATGAATAAATGGGCATTACTGTGAAAAATGCTAAGCAGCACACTCCTGAAGAAGCCTGTGCTTATTCAGCAGAATTAAATTCCTCTTGTATGAATAAATGCATGCTCTACTTGCTGAAATAGAAAGCTACAGTATCGGTTAGCCAAATCAACGGTCATCAGCAGTATGAATCTGGCAGATAGCGTATACGAGTCAGCGCAGACAGATATTTGCAGAAGGCGGGAGGAGTGAGAGGTAAGGTGAGTCAGATGAGAATGGCAGGCCTCCGCGCTCTAAGCCAGGGTCTATTAGAGGCTGATTGGACCCATTAGGAGAAGGAGACGGCGCGGCAGCCATGTGCAGGGCTCCGTCAGCCTGCCTCTACATTAACCACTGCCTGCTCTCTACTTTGTTGAACACACAGGCTGATCGATAGCAATGAGTAGGGTGAAAAGGAGGGTAGGAGGACGCGAGACGAGAAGGAGAGGAAAAAAAAAAGAGTTCAGCTTTACGGGAAGATAAGCCTGGATCGATCAGGAGACAAGGACTGGTGCTGCGTGGACAGAAAGGATGGAGGAATGCAAGATGCACAGATTCACACTCATCAGATTGGGCGTGTGTGTGTGTGTGTGTGTGTGTGTGGTGTGTGTATGTGTGTGTGTGTGTGTGTGTGTGTGTGTGTGTGTGTGTGTGTGTGTGTGTGTGTGTGTGTGTGTGTGTGTGTCTGTGTGTGTGTGTGTGTGTGTGTGTGTGTGTCAGCATTTATCTATAATAAGTCTCACATATAACGAAAAAACCTGTAAGAATCTGTATATTGAAATAATCAAAATTTTCACTACTGGGTTAATATCATGTCCTACTAGTGAATTACTAGTGAATATTTGCACCATCACGTTCCTGGAAAACACTGTGGCATTAGCTAATAAAGGAGAAATTAGATGTGACTGTCTCTGTGCTGATGGATTCTCTGCAGCGCTCGTGTGCATAATAAACTGAACGTATCAGGGTAGCAGGTAAACAGAAAAAGTGCTGCACTTGCAGCAACACAAAGGATACCAAATTAAAACAGCAGTAGCCGTGCTACAGGAAACCAACCCCAGCGCTCCTCTTGTGTTTCACCAGCTTGGTGCACGTGCAGCACGTCAGCCTGCACGACTGAATTCGAGTGAAACACGGCTGCTTTGGCTCGGTGAACGGGTGTCTGCATTTGAACGCATCACATTATCAGCGGCTCCCCGACACCTGTCAGGCTGCAGCCATGCAGATAACCTGTGTCTCCACCCGGCTTGCATCTTTTTCTCTCTTCCTCTCGTATCACTCTCTTGATCTCTGTGAACTCCGTGGTGTTTCTCTCCCTGCACAACCAGACACACACACACACACGCACGCACACACTCACTCACGCATGCACACACACAGCTCTCAGCCCGTCTGATGGCACCTAGTCAGTGAAAAGCTACTCCTGATCGGCGACCAATATCCTCACAAAGATAAACGCACTCTGAGAGGTGCAGCTAGTATAAAACTACAATTACTGATGAAAACGAGGGATGAGTGCATCATGATGGTGCAGGAACACTTGAAAAACATAGAAAAACTGATTGAAAAACAGCAAAATGGTGCCTGAAGCAGTGTTTTTTCACAGCTTTGCATCAGTGTACTGGTTTTCATTTGCATGATGCACACACATGTTTGTCTGTGCACGTGTGTCCCTCTGCTGCTGCTATCTCTGTATTCTCCACACACTCTGACATACAAAGGACTTTTTTTTTATCGGAGGCAATTTACTTTAGTCCGCTGGAGCTCCCAGTCGCTCGATCAGGCAGACAACTAATCGTACACAAGAGAAAGCTTCATCACACACTTCAAAAGAGGAGAGGGGAGGGGGCACAGTGCCTAACGCTCACACACACACGCTGACATCCAAAACAAGCACATATGTTTGGTTTCCCAAATAAAGGGAGCGCGGTGCCGTATTAGTTATAGATCATAACCCTGAAGTGTGCAGCGACATCGAAGTGTTATGGCTTCATTATGAAAAAAAATAAAAATAAACACTGGCTAACTGGTGCCCAGGTGGAAGCTCACACCTTTAGCTTGATCACCAGCACTTACAAGCTGCTGTCGGAACAGAACCAGGCTGCTGCCTCCATCTGACTGAGCAAGTCAGACGTTCTCAGTGCTAAATGGATATTTTGATCATTTTGAAGTGTTTTGCTGTAAACGTCGTTAATAACTACTCTTTTACTGCTTCATGAATCCCAACTAATGATAAATGTCTGCTGGAGGTGTACAGCAACACACAGTCCTACAGGTTCTAGTCGCTTCAAAAGGGGATTGGCATCTTCAGCATTTCCTCACTTTTATTCAGCAAGTGTGTAGAAGCAGAGAAACATCTAAAACATGCATGGCCTGGGAGGACTTAACGCCGCTGGTGTGTGTCCTAAAGACCGACGAGCTAACTGCTAGTCTGACTCCAACCTAAACCGAGTCTTCAAACAGCTCTAAGTGTTGTGGAAGTGTGCTACTTTATTTTAGACGCCTTTACAGAATTAGTGTTATTAGTAGAATCCTGTAGTGATTTACAAAATTACAAAACAAAGCACTTCCTGTTAATCCAGGGGTCCAAAGTGGAGTGTTGTCGTTATATAGAGGTCCTTCGCCAAGAAACCATTTTTTTAAACTAATTTTTTTAACTGATCAGCCACTCAGAGTTTAACGTGCAGGCTAAATGTGAAAATCGGCGTCAGCTTCTGATAGAAGATAGAGAGTGAAATGCTAGGATTAGAAAAGCCTGACAGATCTACGTCACTGAACATTCATGGACTCATGGGACGGAGAAGGCTGTTGTTGGTTTAGCGTCCAGGAAACGGCGGAGAATGTCTTGGGTAGCAGAAGCTAACCGTTAGCATTAGCAACTCCACCACACAGTTAGAACTTCCTCAGGCGTGTGTTACTTGTGGAGATATGGAGTTTAACAGATAAGAGATCGCCTAAGATGGCAGCAACATTCTCTGGTTCTGGCTGTGCTCAGACTAGCTGTTAGCCTATCAAACTCTCCAAGTAACTAGTCAGAACTGACATAATTATTACATTTAACCAGAAATACCCCAAAAGTATCCATTTAATACTCAGCGAGGTTGATTAGCAGCACAGACTGCAGATATCAGGCTTCCTGTTTCCTTCTTTTGCACCTTTAAAGTTTAGATAACTCAACTGTCCTCCGTCGTTCACCTCATGATGGGCTGAGAGACATCAAGTTGGAATCAATCTTCTGTTCCAGCTCTTGGCGACCTTGGTGTCTATTGTGTTATAAACCTGGGGGAAAGATGAAGCTGCACAGCATTTGCTGCCTCTTCTATCCTTTCTGTCCCAAAAAGTAATCAGTGAAGGTGAGAATCGACCCACATTCTCATCAGTTTTCATCAGCTGCTGTTATCAGAGCTGCTGCTGGGAGATTTCAGTGACTTATAACCGCACTAAAACACTTTTAATGTACTTTTGATGCATCCTGATTCAAAGTTTGGGTTGTGATGGAGGGGCTGCCAGCCTTTATCCCCAGAGAGGCAAAGGTTTAAATTCACTGCGCGGCCCGTTAGATTGGCTTTGTTTGTGGCCGTACTGCAGGCTGAATATTTGTCTCCTGCTGAAGAAATATGGCCACCTTTCTCTTTAGCTCACTAATCACACACACACACACACACACACACACACACACACACACACACACACACACACACACACACACACACACACACACACCTTCAGCATCCTTCCTAACAAACCACACTCAAGTCTAAAAACCAATAGATTCAGTCCTTTTCTACCTTTGTTCTCGTTTTCTCACCTCGTCCATCTCTCCTCTGCCTTTGTATCGCTACAGAATCATTTCTTTCTAGGAGTTACTGAAACGACTATAATTTCCAGATCTCTTTTCTGACAACTGCCTCCCCCCTTTGTGTTGCTCTCTCTCACCTGCTCAGATTCACTATATCATTTCTATTCCACTCCCCCCTCCTCTGTCAAGCGCCCCATTTCTCGTCCTGCTTTTTTATTTTATCTCTTCTATTCTCTGATTCATGTTGCCAATTGGGCCGTTTGCAGAGGAAGGTTTCAGAGGAGCAGAGAAAGATGTTTCTGCCGTTTTCTTCTCCACCCTTTGTTCTGTTTCTTATTTACTTACTTGTTTCTCTCCTCCTCCCTCGCACGCCTCTCTGCTATCCTTTTAATCTCCTTGCAGGTTTTTGCTTTATTGTTTGGTTGTTTTTCTCTCTCGCTTCAGAGTTCTTCGTGAGCGTTGAACAGCGACACTTGACTCAGATGAAGGTCACATTGGCCTGAAGGAGAAAAAGAGGAGAGGTGTAATGAGTGACGGGGGTGGATGGTGCTGTGTTTGCACGTGTGAGACTGACAAGGCGGCTTTAATCATTTTGATGCCTCTGTGGGAGAAGAGCTGGAGCGCGCTGGTTTTTCATCCACACACACAAATAAAAACACAAATCCACCCTGGTTAGGATGGAATATGAGCCTGATCACTCCACAGTGTTGTTCTGAGGTTATCCCTGTATCCATGACAACAGAGATTGTAGTTTATTTCATTCTTCAGCAATAGCTAAATTAGTTTTAATTTGTTCCAAAGTGACAGATCTCTAACATTACTACATTTTCGCTGTTGGGACTTGGACAATACAACCAGCCTCTCATCGTTAAAGCTGTTTTCTGTTCGCGTTGAAAGGGGAAGTAAACAAACCCTCTGCTCCTAAAGCGCCAGGTGTGAAAATGAAATTACAGGCCGGGGAAATCCTTTTCCTTTGTATCCGTGATCACAGACGAGCTGACAGACCTGTTAGAGAATGTGCTGTGGATCACTGGTGTTCAGCCAAGTTGGGACTAACTCTTAAAAACAGTGTCTCTACTCAGGAGCAGGAAACATTAATAAATCTGTTATTTGTAATCAAAGTTGTGCATTGACCAGAGTTTTGGTGGGTGCTTGCAGTTTAAAAGAGGAACTTTACTTATATTAATACGTTTGCAGCGGTCTCCAGTAGGAACGAATGGCTTGTAATTCGTACTCTGGGAAAAAAAGCTAAGATGCACTTGTTTCATCAAGGTGGATTTAGCCAAAGGAGAAAGTAGCTTCAGATGGGGATTTGGGGTCTTATTTCCTGATCTTAGGACATCTCACCTCTGATTGGATAACAGTAACATGTCTCTACCACTGACTTGGTTTGCTCTGCTTCTGCCTGGAGGAGTTCTGCCATGTGGTGGAGTTGCTAATGGTTAGCTTCTACTAGTCGAGACTTTCTCAGCTGTTTCCTGGATGCTAAACTGATAATAGCCTTCCCCATCGTGAGTCAAGGTGGGCGAGTCCATGAATTTTAACTCTACCTGGCAGGGTGACGTAGCTGCCAGGCTTTTCAAATCCTAGACCAGGAGTATTAAATTCTGGGCCTGGAGGGCCGGCGTCCAGCACGTTTTAGTTTGAACTCTGTTTCAACACACCTGATTTCAATCAGCAGGTGATTAACAGGCTTCTGCAGAGCATGAGGAGCACCTGCTTGCTGCACAGGTGATGCACCCACTGAATCAAGTGTGTTGGAGCAGGGAAACCACTAAAACGTGCTGGATACCAGCCCTTCAGGTCTGGAATTGAATACCCCTGTCCTAGAATTTCACTGTCTAGTTTCTGTATGAAGCTAATGCAGGAGATAGGTGTAGGAGACTATTTTCATGTTCAGCTTTAGTGATGGAATAAATTATCACTAAGCTTGAATAAAACTAAAATCCTGTTGTTTGGGAACAGCTGCCTAAATTTATTTACAAGAACAAATCCAAATTGATGGTGTGAGGATTGAAAGAGTGAAGGAGATCAGATTTATTGGTATAATAATAGACAATAGAATCAGCTGGAAAACTCACATTAAACATATAAACAATAAAATCTCAAGAAGCATCTCAATATTAAAAAAAGTCAAACAAAAGTCACTCCACATTCTATACTGTTCACTTATTTCCACATATTCAAAATACTGTACAGAGGTTTGGGGAAACACCTATAAATGTGCATTATCGTCATTATCTGTGTTACAAAAAAGGGCTCTAAGGAACATTCATAACACTGGTTACGGAGATCGAACAAACTCATTATTTTTACAATCACAAATCTTAAAATTTCCAGATATAGTTCAATTTCAAACAGCACAGCTAATGTATAAACAATAAACAATAAACTACTCCCAGACAACATATTAGAACCGTTTCATACAACGGAGGGGAGGTATCAGTTAAGAGGGGAGTTAAAATTCAAAAATGGTCGAATCCGAACAATATTAAAAACTTTTAGTGTGTCTGTGTGTGTGTGTGTGTGTGTGTGTGTGTGTGTGTGTGTGTGTGTGTGTGTGTGTGTGTGTGTGTGTGTAACAGAATGAGTGATGAATTGAAGCAATGTCCAAACATGATGTTGTTTAAAAAAAAGGCTTAAACTCATGCTGTTTACCAAATACAAGGAAGAAGGTCCAAAAGTTTTTGCCTAAACACAAAATGTTTGTATTTATGACATGATCTTGATAAACCATGTGGCATTTATGTGAATATGTTGCAAAGTACTTTGCACAACATTAAATAACTATTAGTTATTTGATGTCGAGAAAGGGGTGGGATTAAATAAGCTTCCTACTCCCTTTTGAACATGTGTTAAAAAATAAAATAAAAAAACAGAAGAAGTTACTTATGTTGTGTGTAATACTATGTGTATGTACGCATGTTCAACATAAAGACAAAGCCTTCATGTTAAACTCAGAGTGACTAATTTTGTTCAAAATGAACAAGTAAAACATTGTTTTTCAGTGAGGTTCCTCTTTAAAGTATGTAAATAATCATGTATAGAGCAGCAAATCCTAAAAATTCACCTTGAAGTTGGTTATTTGAGTTTGGTAAAGGGCTGCATGGTGGCGCAGTGGTTAGCACTGTTGCCTCGCAGCACGAAGGTCGCAGGTTCGAAACTCGGCTGCGGCCTTTCTGCGTGGAGTTACGTGTTCTCCCCATGCGTGCGTGGGTTTCCTCCGGGTACTCCGGTTTCCCCCACAGATCACAACATGCCCTATAGGTTATAAATTGTAAGTCGCTTTGGATAAAAGCGTCTGCTAAGTGAATAAACATAAACATAAGAATGATGAATGCTTAGTAGCTGTAATAAAATAAGATGATAAAAATACATCAAAAATACAAAAACCGTCGTCAGTAAAAGAAGAGTTGGGCCCGTACAGAAAATAAACAGATCTGATCCATAAAAGTCTGTAAAAGCGAGGCTAAGCTCACCTACTGAGTACTAATACACCAATGGTAAAGCAAACTCAAACACACAGATGGAGATCCGAGAGCGTGGTAGACTTTATAAATTGTCAATTACCTATATCACCTTTCTGAGTCAGAGGACTCCAAAGTGCTTTACACTACAGTGTATCATTCATCTATTCACATGCTGATGGCGATGAACTACATCGTAGCCACAGCTGCTCTGGGCAACCTGACAAAAGCAAGGCCGCCCTCCTGCAGAATTCCTTGGAAGAAGCTGGAGTCGATCCGATTACTGGACAGCCCACCTCACGAACTACTGCTGTTGTTGCATTTCTGTTTGTGAAGCTCCATGTAAATCAGAAGTAAAAATATGTGACGAGAATATCTTTTTGTAAAAATGTATGAGTTAATAAAAGTAAAATTGGGCTCATTTTAGGTTTAGGATTTAGAAAGCTCATCAGACGGTGCGGGTTACTTAAACAGGGTGGCATGGAGAACATTAAAAAACAAAACTGTTAAAAGGAAGAGTGAAACAGATACCAGTTATCTTTATAGTATTCATAAACACCTGAGCAGCTAGTTACCAGTAAGCTAAGTTAAGCTAAGTTAAGCTAAGCTAAGCTAAGCTAAGTGTCGAACAGTTGACGTTGTGTGGGGTCATCAGGCTTTATTTCATTTTTTAATAAACATTTTACAAAAAGTTGGTTTCATCAAGTGTAATACTTAAAAAAATCATTAATATGTATAAAAAAACATGAAAGCATGACGAAGCTGACGTGTTACAATAAGTTTTACAACATTCTGCTTCTTTACTCAAGTTGACCACAGCTAAGCTCCTCTAGAATGACCTCATGCTAAAAGTTGATGCTTTAATTGCTTTTATTTTATTACAGCCAAGAAAGACTACACACACACACACACACACACTGAGATACTTGTCTCACATTTACTGAGTCCCAGTTCGCCCTGAAGATCACATGACAAAGTCCCCGCGAGCGTAGCTGTGAATCGAGGCTGAGTTTCATGTCAACATCAATCGCTCACTAATCACAATGAGAGTGCCGACGGCCACGCAGACGGTGAGAAACACACGAGTCCGGCTCGCGTTACAAAGGGGGCGCTCACAAAGGCATCACAGAGACCTCTGACACCACCATCCTTCATTCACTGCTGTCAATAAAGCAGACTCTGGAAACTCGGCTACAGTTTCTGCACACTGCACTGCACTATATTGATTGGAAACGCTGCGATATTCATCAATCTTTATAAACTCAGACACACGTGCATTAGATTCACACACATGCGTGCACACTGGTGGGAAACTGAGCAGAAAGCCTTGGCATAACACGATTACAGAAGTGTGTTTGTTTGTGAATACCGTGCAGTCCTTGTGGATACGTGTTAGAAAAGAAACTACATTTATGTGTAAAAATTAATTAGCTACTACAAAGAATTGCTGAAGTTTGTGGACCTTTTTCTGCAACCCGCCCAGTATGCTTTTCAAAATCTTTTCTGCCCACAAAGGCTAATTTAATCCTTCATGTCTGTTAGTGGCCAGTGAGGACATCTCACTGCTTTTGACATGCTTCTTTAAAGAAGAGAACATCAAAGAGAAAGATAAACCCTCTCCTGATGGCTGAAGGAAAATATAAAGCAAGTCATGTAAAAATCTGAAACTCCATTTGACAGCAGGTCCTAGGTTCTGCTCTGGAAAGTCAATTTAAACTTAATGTGGAACCATGCGCTTCTGAGTAGCTCACCATATGAGTACACGTGTAAGCATGTGTGTGTGTTAGCTCCTTCTGGTGAAATGTTTAACCCTTCAGCGTGCATCTCCTTGTGGGACTCGACCAGCTGTGTGTCTGCCTGAGCTGCAGCGGGAAAATAGGAGTTCACTCAGAGGGGAAAAACTCTCCAAGAGGAAATATGTTGCTGCTGTCACCTGCTTGGTTACCTTTAATGCTGGATGAACTCAGAGAGAGAGAGAGAGAGAGAGAGAGAGAGAGAGTGTGTGCGCGCGTGCGTGCGTGTGTGTGCGCGC